GGCGTTTGACATCGAAAGTGCGATCAGGGGAGGCTCGTTTTGGATGGGGAAAAGCTGTGGCGGGGCCAGGTGTTCGGAGCCAGGATGGGCGCAAGATAGGCAAGACAAGTCTTTTATTTTACTTATTTATATTCCGTGTTTGACATCGAAAGTGCGATCAGGGGAGGCTCGTTGTGGACCAGAATTAGATGGGGAAACGTTGTGGCGGCGGCAGGTGTTCGGAGCCAGGATGGGCGCAAGAAAGGAAAGAAAAGTCTTTTTTATAGGGATTCAGAGGGGGCACTTGACATCGAAAGTGCGATCAGGGGAGGTTCGTTTTGGATCAGAATTAGATGAGGAAAAGCTGTGGCGGGGCCAGGTGTTCGGCCAGATGGGCTGCACTTTAACACACGGTCTGACTGAAGAGGCGTCGCCCACTTCGCTGGGGCAGGCTAGCGGACACGCGCTGATGCTCAAATCGTATAATTTCAGACAACAAATCCCCAAAAAGCATCAAAAAACAGTCTTTCTCTTAGGATGCTTCATGTTTTTTTTGGGCCCGATGCCCTTTCGGTGAAGCCAACACACAAAAGAAAATCATTCCACAGCAATACACTCGTGATGCGATGATGCGCTTGCCACGGACGAAGACAGAGTTCGGGGCCGTTCAATCTTCGAACGGCTGCGAAACCGACAGCGGCTGCGGTCCTTTCGATCCAGTAGTCACTGTAGAGAGGCCACTATAGTCACTCACAAATATGGGAGTGAGTGCAGTATCAGTTGCAGGGTTGAATGAATCCCCTTCAAGAAAAACCACACCAAAGTATTATGGGTTGCCTCTGTCAGGTCTGTTCTTTGTCAGGTGAGTTATAACATGTCGATTCAACACATTCTGGCTAGCACCTAGGCACGAGTTCGTGTAAAGGATCTTCGAACACGATGTCACCGAGCAATGAACAACCCTTCTTCTTGAGCATTGATATCCTTATATATCCTGGTTGAAACTTACATGGTGGACATAAGGATAATACCACGGTTTTGGTCTTGCAACATGCAAGGCGCATCTTGTCGTAAGGGAAATTTCAAAGATGATCCTTATATATACCACTCTTGGGTCCAACACATGGGGACCCACAAAAAGCCTTGTATCTTCTGTGTCTTCTACTTGTGTCTTCTACTTAACTCTTGACACCCTCTACGTCTCTTTTGTTTCTGTGGTAGCTGGTCACTCAAACTTACTCATAATGGGCAGGGGGTCAGATGTGGCAGGGTGAACTTTCACCACTCTTGAGCTAAACTTTCACCAAACTTTCGCCTTTGCGGGGTAGAGTTTTGTGGCAAAACCACCCCCCCACAGCAGGAGCAGGACTAGTTGTAATAGAAATAGAAGTAGAAGTCGTAGTAGTAGTAGTAGTAGTAGTGGTAGTAGTAGTAGTAGTAGTAGTCCTAGTAGTCGTAATCGTAATGGTAATAGTACTAGTACTTCGGACATTGACCCCTTCCTGATGCTCATGATGACTGCTACGCCTGTCCCGGGTGAGAATCCTTGATTGAAAAAATTCAATAAGAATGTTGAATGCAAACGGAGATCAATATTGTATTGAAAAGGTGTGTTTTTCAATATTTTTGTCGACTAAGCAAGATCAATATTTCATATCAATATTATCGATATACATTTTTCCCGAAAGCATTGCGAAGGGTTCTTCCGGAAAATCCTTTGAACACTGACACTTGGACACTTACACTTAGACACACTTAGACATTGACACTTTCACCACACTTAAACACACGTAGCCCTGTGTAAGTGGAAGAGCGAAAGCTGTCAAAGTATGCAAGTGTATGCAAGCATGCAATGAGTAAGCAAGCATGCAATGAGTAGGCAAGTGAACTAGCACGGGAGATGTCCTAATGAAAAAACATTTCCCCACTTTATAAATTCTCTCTTAAAGGCGGAGGGTGGGACGAACAGCGTCAACCGAAAGTGCAACCCTCTGCGGAGATCGTGCGTGTCGAGTGCGCGAAATGCAGGCGAGAGTGCGCTTTGTCCGGTGTGCGCGCAACCCTCTGCGGAGATCG